ATATCATGGGGACAACCCCAATACTTGAAATGGCGCGCGCTTACGGTCTCCGTCCCCGATTATGGCTCCTGCTCCACGTCAAATTCTCCTATATCCAATGTAGATCCTAGTTGCGAGGTCCATTCCGACCGACCATGCATACTTTATTTGCCAGTTTGTTTGTAGACTGGAAACGAGTTCGACCCAGTCTTTCAACCGGGTCGAAAGAAAACATGGAGGATGGTTTGGAGCAATGTTAAAGGTCTATTGGTAGCGTTATTTTGTGTTACATTGCTGCTTTGCCTCTTGGATGCAAAAGACTTTCGTTACAAGCGTTATACTTTCAGGAAAAAGCAGAGACTAGTGAGTATTTTGTTTGATTTCTTGAGATTTGTCGATTGTTTCCTAGGTCAACATCTACCTTTATTCACTAAGGACATCGAGGCGAGCACAGATTTTCGTGTCATTCACGGTGTACATGTAAGCTCCTTTGAAATCCATGTTTAAAACGAAAACGAGGTTAACTTAATGTCTTTTAATGGCATGCGATCAAGCTGAAAGATGAGGGCAACCTTATTTTCATGTGATGTGTTTCACTGATATCGCCATGGGCGGCCAACCAATCTATCTTAACCATTCCACGCCAGTCTGGCTCATGTAACCAGTGGTTTTTATTAGAATTTGGCCATCGCTGTTCGTCCATGTTTTGTTTTTAACAGTTTGTGATCAAATTTCTCGATTGCTCAGGCCTTGATCTTGATTTATTGACGTAATTCTTGTCAGAGGCTTCAAGGGTACAGATGTACAATAGAAATGCTCACATCACATATTCTTGAACGTCAGCGTGCAACGCACAAGCAAATGGATCAAGCAGATGAGCCAATCAGAACGCCCGCCTCGCTAAGGCTATGTTTATTTATTTTATTTATTTATTTATATATTTTAACTTTATTTATACCTGGGTAAAACATCAGGACTTATAACGTATACTAAAATTGCATTATTAGAATTGCATTACTTATAGTATATACTAAAATTGCATTATACACCTTCACGTGCTACTATACCTTCTACTGTTTTTACATTCTTGTACTGTTACTACATCTAGTGTTATTTCACCTTCTACTGTAACTACACCTTTTTTTTAAAATTACTAGATCTTATATACTGTTGGAACACCTTCTACTGTTACTACACCTTCTACTGCTATTACTGTATACCTTCAACTGCAACACATTTTACTGTTACCACACCTTCCTATTGTTACTACACCTTCTTACTGTTCCTACGCCTTCTTGTTACACGTTACAGCTTACACTGTTACTACACAGTCCAATGTTACTACAACTTCCATTGTTACTACATCTTATACTGTTACTACGCTATCAATCCAACTGATAGGCAATCATATTGTGAGTTTTAATTTCACAACTGCTTAAGTTGTGTATATAATTTGACAACTGCCTATGTTTTGTATATAACTGCGATGATCAATCATGTCTTCATATCTTTTTTCACAGTTCAAATATGAACTTTCATATATTCACTTGCATTATTCACCATCGACAGGTATACAACAAACTCACAATATGATCAGCTCTCAGTTTGCTTGATAACTCAGTTGGTAGAGCAGTGCACCGGCACCGCAGAGGCCATGGGTTCGAATCTCGTTCAGGCCTAAATTTTTTTCAGGCGTTAATTTCACAACTGCCTAAGTTTTGTATATAACTGCGATGATCAATCATGTCTTCATATCTTTCTCCACAGTTCAAATATATGCTCTTTCATATATTCTTTTGCATTCTTCACCATCGACGGGCACATAATGAACTCACAATATGATTAGCTCTCAGTTGGCTTGATAGCTCCGTTTATAGATCACTGCACCGGTATCACAGAGGTTATGGGTTCGAATCAAGTTCAGGCCTGAATTGTTTCAGGCTTTAATTTCACAACTGCCTAAGTTGTGTACATAACTATGATGATCAATCATGTCTTTCCACCTTCTACTGTTGCAACTCCTTCTACTGTTATATAATACACCTTCTATGGTTACTACATCTTGAAATGTGTCAACACCATCTAATGTTACTACACCTTCTACTGTTATTACACCTTCTACTGTTACTACATCTTGTACTGTTACTACACCTTCTACTGTTACTACACCTTCTACTGTTACTACATCCTCTACTGTTACTACACCTTGCACTGTTACTACACTGTACACCTTCTACTGTTACTACACCTTCCACTGTTACTACACCTTTCACTCTTGCTACACCTTGTGCTGATATTACACCTTCTTACTGTTACTACCCCTTCTTACTGCTACTTTTACACCTTCTTACTGTTACTACACTTTCTACTTTTATTACATCTTCCACTGTTACTACACCTTCTTACAGTTACTATACCTTCTTACTGTTACTACACCTTCTTTCTGTTTCTACACCTTCTACTGTTAATACACCTTCTTACTGCTACTTTTACACCTTCTTACTGTTACTATACCTTCTTACTGTTACTACACCTTCTTACTGCTACTTTTACATTTTCTACTGTTACTACACCTTTCACT